CACGAACACATGCGATGAGGTCTGCTGGTTTTCCGCTCAATTTCAAGCCTCTACACTTTAACCAACGCTTCAATGGTGTGTTTGTATGGTTCTCTTGATCTTGCTCGAACTTTGAGCCAGGAACACCGTCGTTTTGATTTAAAATACGAGCTTTAGAGGCGTTTGAACTAGAGATGGGCGCATCATCGCCCATATTCATTTATTCGAGAAGCCTGTTTGTTTGTCCTAATCGCTCAAGGGGGTTCAAAATTTCGTGACGTCACAAACGCGCAGCGCCATTGCTATGCTTAAATGAAGTGTTGAGTCTAGCTGCTAGTTTTGTAAGCGAAACAAAAAATAATTTCAATAATGTTTTTAACGTGGGTCGCTTGAGTTTTTTCGATTGGCTGTAGTTTTTGCAGAAATTAAAGCCAAATGTTCACCTTCAGGAGTTATTTTACTTGCCGTTATGATTTATCATTTCTGTTCTTCCTGGTGACTGCAAAAGCAGGAGATTTTCTTTCTCACAGCATTTTTGTAACTTTCAGTTGTTTGCTGAAGAAGTGATAGGTTATTGTGTCATAATTTTCTCTCATATTTTGATCTTGTTTCATTTTAGGGAGGAATCTGATGAATTTGTGGAGATTGGAGCGCTCAATGGATTGTTTGTTTTAGGAAGATCGATTGGATTCATTGGTAAGTAATTTTCTTTCTGTACAATAAAAAAGATTGCGATGCATCAAAATTCATAGGGAAAGGAGTGGGCGAAATGGCAAGAAGGGAATGGATCGATAGACTTGTCTGAGGGCTGTCTGGAAGTTTCGCCCCGTTTCAAGTCCGTCCCCTACTATTTCGCCCCATCTCGACGCGCTTGCCTCATCAAAAATTAATAATTTTTGGATGTGTTTGTAGGTCATTATTTGGATCAGAAACGCCTAAAGATGGGTCTGTATAGACATCCTTGGGACGACATCACGTACATCATGCCTGATCATCTCACAGACCTTCGCCCAGCAAGTTTTGAATAAGTACGTGACAATCACGTTGTGGAAGTGTTTGGAATTACAAATTTTGGTTTTCCTCCTTGAACTCAATCGAGCGGAACAGTTAACAGAAGAATTTTTGGAAGAGAGAAATTTGTGTCGTGTGTTGAGGCCGTAATTTAATTCAGGGATAGTTATTGCCCTTTTTTAGGTAATTCCCGTGTTGGTATTTTTGACTGCCAAGCGTTTTCCGTAAACTTATTTTGTACCTGTCACGTTCGTGTGGATTGCGTGCAGGCCAAAGAACGTAAACGCTAGAGGGCTCTTGCTCTCTATAAAACCAGGAATATTTTGGACAATACTATGGAAGCAATGTTGTAATTTTAATTTTCATCTAATTTATTCATTTAGATTTGAAATTCATGCAGAGCGATATGCCTTAAAGAAAGTGTAATTTCAAAATTGTTACGAACTTTTTGGTCGATCTGGGGAGCAGTCCATAGTCGAGCTGCTAAGAGAGTGTTAATATGACTCTGGGAGGGGCCTAAAACATATTTAAGCCTAAAAATATAAACTTAAGTACTATAATCATCACTTTGGAGGTCACTGGGAAAGTGAAAACTGAAACAGCAAATAAAGGAAAACCGAACATTCACGCAAGCGTGCGAGAATGTTAGAGACATTTTTAACCCACAAAATCTCCATTTTAGCTCACAAAATGCGCCACATTGCCCCACAAATTGATAAAAATGTCTTTTTTCAAGGAAGAGTGCACATGAACTCTCGCTTTATCTGGCTAAAAATAAGAACACGTAGAAGTATGCGTCCTGTGGGTTGAAACGAATTTAAGTTGTCTTTGTGAGAGAGCTCCCAGCACGATGAACGTTCTGTTCTATACTCGCGTTTAATTGCCTGTCTGAGGATCCTCTTCCTCTGGCGTCATGAAGTTATTCTTAGGTACTTTTCCCGTAGGACATTTGAAATGTATCCAATTTTTACGTAAATTATTCTTCAAGGCTGATTAATTGATCGTCATTTTTGGTTGTTCCAAGTACCCAACGAGAAATGATTTGAAAGATTAAGGGTTCTGCCTGTGCCAAATTAACCGCAATCACTCTAGCGGAAAAAATAATTAATGCCTGGTCAGAATTTACGTCAACAAAAGAAAGCCAGTTTGGAAAAAATGTCTCAATGAATGACTGGCGCTTGTCTAAATGCTCGAGTGAATAAGGCGACATTGAGGCAAGAACCCTTGAGAAGCGCAACTGGAGCACATGGCTAAAAGGGTTTAGGGAACTCGTTTGCAACACTTCTAGTAGTTCCTACACTCTGCGCCTCTATTAGACTGCGGCTAAGCTTTGGGATTAAAATTAAACACTTCCTGTTCATCATCGGGAGTTTATATTGGCGATTGGTTCGTTAGCCATCTCTCGGTCCTTGGTCGCAAGTTCAACAATCAAGCTTGTTATCTATCGAGCCGAAAGTAAACCGTATCGATTGACTTACGTGCTCTTTTCATCTCCTTTTGTTAATTTTCATGTCCTGTGCGGCTTTGACTGACGTAGGTACTAAAAAAAGTTAATTTCATATCCAAACCGACACCCGGTCAACAATCAGTGCAAAAAAACTACGTATTTCCTGTTTAATTCACCACCGGCATGATAAAGATATTTCCGACTTGTGGTGAACAGGCAGCCAAACTTCCACAAGCTAGTGCTCTATTATTTTATGCTTTTAAATTTGATATATTTAAGAAATAGCTGAATCAGATACAATTCTAGCTCAGTGGCCACTTTTAAGACAATGAGGACTTTTTTTTTTATGGGACGTAAGACGGTTTCATAAGAAGAATGTTACTCGCAATTCAATCCGATGTTGGTCAACAAAATTCAAGACCATACCGTATTACGCCTAATAAAAATGCAGCCTAATTGGGTAATAACATATCAAAGGATCTTTACATCGATTCTTTTACTCATTTCCTTTGCAGTTTAAGTTTAGCGTTCTTTAAGTTCAGCTACAAGTGGTAGCTCGCATCCATGATGCATTTCAGCGCTGAGTTATTAACCTTCCAATAAGAATTAACGAGAACGCCATAACAATCACAATTAGGAACAGAATCGACCCTATTATTCTTTCCAGAACGTGAACGAAGCTTTGAAACTACCGAAGAAAAAATTGGTGTTTTCTGTTTACCTTTTGGTTCTTCATGACATGAGGCAAATGAGTTACTCCGGAAGCTATTCAGCAGTCTCATCGGGTGAGACATCGGTCTCATCATATTGAGTAAAAAAAAAAATTGAAGACAGTCGACTATCGTGCCCTGCTTAATCAAAACCACTGCTAAGAAACACAAACTTGTTCCCCCCGAGCACCAGCCGCGTACCGTCATAGAAAGGTAACAAACCCCTTCCTCTCCCACCCCACCTTACCAAATGATCTTGCACGAACAGCGATCACGAGCCATGATCGTGCACTGATAACCCAAGACACAAATATCATCATGTAAATTTGCAAAATATAAGCGAAAGAAATGAAACATAATCTTTGTTCATTTGTTTTGCTTCAACTTCAACTCTTAGGGTCAACGCTTATTATTGACTTAGCAGACTTTTAATTTCTTGTTCAGCACGCATGAAATTTCCTTTTAAGTATTTTCGTTCAGTAAAAAGAGAGAGAATGGAGAGCTTTTTGGTAGGGAACGATATATAACGAGCGAGTATATATTTTCGCTGTACGCGAGATCAGATGATTACCGATTGAAGCCTCGGCTTTCGCTGATCATCATTGCGTGAAATGTTGCGATCTCTGAAAGAGGAAGTCTGCGGTTTGCGGTCGTGTGCAACATGTCTTCATGAATCTAATTTAAATATTCCCCAGGGCAAACCGTTCTAAAATCGTCTCATTTTCCTACCAAAAGTCATGGGAACGAGCCGATTTTGAAAGTCTTCTTTTTTTTCTTGTTTCGACCAAAAGTGTTTTTTGATTCATATCAGGAGCCCATCAAGTGATGGGCTCCTGTTCATATAGATTGTAAGACGTGTGTTGTTTCCATTTTGATTTTATGTGGGCTACTTCCGGCTTGAGTAATACATTACTTCCGTTAAAATCAAAGCTCGTTGAAAGTGAGTAAGCAAACGAAAATGATGGTAATTACAGAAAATGAAAGTTGAAGCTTGTAGCTTTCACAGAAGGAGGTGACAAAAAAATTTTAATTTTAAAATACTTAAAAAAAAAAAAAAAACCGGAAATACGTCGTGCTATGTTGTACTCTGTCAAGACCGTGTATTTCCGGTTACAAGATGCATTGCGCGCTCACTTGAACGAACGTGATCAGCTTTTGACAACATTTTTGTTGTACAGTTCTTCCGAGTCTTCTCGTGTCTATGACGGCGGAATGATTGGGCCGATCTGCGAAAACTTTAGTGATACAGTAGGCTTGAAATGCCTTCAAACGACGTGATACTATTGGGGTACCGACCGCGCAGCGACATACAAGCATCGGCAAATATACGAAGAGCAGTTAGCGAAGATTGTCTTCTCGCATCCCGAGGAGACGAGAGAAGACCTGGTTTTTCAATGCTCAAATTAAGTAAGACAAGGATTTCTGTTGGAGACAGTGTCACTGTGTATTGGGATATCCGAGAGCAGTGTGGAGCGAATGATTGGATCGGTCTCTTTGATTTAGGTAAGCTCTATTTTCATCTGCTTCACGGGATTCATATCGCGTTTTGCACCATTGCATACACCCGGCTTTATCGATCAAAAATGCAATGTTTGTGAGCAAATGTTGTTTTTTCTTTTCGTAACATTCCAGCTTTTGCTTCGTTAAACTTGCTTCAGTCTAAAGAGATAAGGATCGCTTATGGACAAGCGTTGAATTTTAAACTATCTTTACATCGCGAAAGTTAATTTCTTCAGCATACAATGAAACACGGGGTCGATCGATCGATTCCTCTCAAATAATATTGTTGTCATCTAAAGGAGCGTAATCGTCGAGGGAGTACTCTGTCAGCTTTGTTGTTGAAAGAAGATTGTTTATCTTGCTGTGTCGATCCGACAGTTCTACAGGGTGGTTTCGTTCCGGGTGTCAATTCAGATAAGGCATTACGAGACAGAAACTACAGTTCCACTATCAAAGTTCTTTCATAATTGGTTTTAAACTTACATCTTGTTTACGTCTTAGCAGTAGTAGTATTGTCAAACTAACGACACTATTCTGGTAGAGAGATTACTTTGTCAGAAAGTGCTAAAATTTAATGCGTGCCTATAAGTTCTGTTTCGTTGAATGATCGTATATAGGCGAAACTCTGAAGGCAGGTGTGTACAAAATCACAATAACCATTTTGCATGAGAAGGTGATAGCAATACCTTTGGTTGTAATAATAAATATGCTAATCGAGTTTCACTATTAAACTTTTAGTGTGTATACATTCTCGTGTCAAAATTATTTAGCCATGGTCTACGTTAATTTGCTGTTTCATTTGTACTTCAATGTAATGCTTAAAAGTAGACTTCAACGTGTTTAAGTGTAAGTTAGATGCAATCCACGATTATTCGATTTTCATTTGAAACAGTACATTATTGGTTAAGTTCTCCTCGAGGTTGGTGGCTTTCAAATTAAAGGTGACGGCCGTGAAGTTTGAAGTAAATGCACATCTGGTTGCATTATCAAACACAGAAAAGGTTTCTAGAAAAAGCCTTGAACTTTTCACTGAACTTAGTGGGCGAAGTAATTTTGGTGAAGCCTGTTAATTTTTCACATGGAGAACAGATGTAATTTGTGTAGAGTTCTGAAACTATGTTTGGCAGATTGTTGATTAATGGTATGGATATTATGAGTGACATGTAACCTATTCACAAGAGCAAATATAGGAAATGGCTTTAATCCTAAAAAATAATTAAACACATGGAAATAGTGTAACTATTAATATAGTTTAATTTGTTTATAAAGAAGTCACTTGATGATGCCATTATGCTAAAAAGCTCGCTTCTTAATCATAGATACCTCATTTTCTATGTTTATGTCAACAGCAAGTTTTCTCAGGAGTGCTTTGAATTGAGAATAAGACTCTTATAAATAATTAGGCCAACTTTACCTCAAAGATATCTGATTGAAGGAATCTGATTTAGTGAAATGTTGGCCATTGAACATTTAAAAACCAAACCCCTTAAAAAAATCAAAACAATTACATTTGGTAATTTATGGTTTCAGTACAGGAACAAACCTAGAGTTTCTGGTGGTGTTGGACAATCATTGTATCTGAAGAGTTCTTCGTTGTGTTGACCATAATTATTAAAAGACTGGTCAATGTAGGTTTCATTATGGAAGAGTAAAGTAATCCTTCTGTTATAAGCTTGTTTATTGTTCGTAGATTTGTAGATATGTGAAAGCTAAACAAAGTACTTCTGTCTTGTGAACTAAGCCAACAGGGGTGTCCATTGTCAAAGGCCATTCATTGTGCAGTTGGCCATGTGTTCTGTGGATTCTTACAGATAATGGAGGAAATTATTCCTACACAAAAAGAATTAAGTACAAAGTGAAAATAAATGTATTATTGAAAAGTATTGTTCTCAAAGTCATTAAAACAAGTATAGCTTCAGTTGGTAAGATATTTCATTTTTAATAATAAATTGGAAAATTGGATGTTCCTGGCTGTGTCAGATTTTAATGAACTTTTTTTTTTAAACATTTATCTAGTTCTTAAATGTATACTTATAATCTTTTCATAACACGTTGTAATTTTAATGCATGTTTAAATTATTTTGTAAAGGATGCTTGGAAAAAATATAGCCATATGTAAGAGTAAACATCATGTAATTTGTCAAATGTCATTAAATTTTGTTACAATTATTTTGAATTCATTTAAGTCAGCTGGATATGTTTAAAAAGGCAACTTTGATTGCATTTTGATTTTAGAGTTTTAGATTTGTGTTGAACAATGACTTTTGATCAATCCTCCAAAAACAGATTTAAAATCAAACATCTTACCTTATTGAAATTTTATCACAGTTATTGTACATCTACGAATAAACCTACAGCAATTTCTCAAACATTGCAGAGTACTTCAATACTGCAAGAAAGGTTCATAATTGTCTGAACTTACTATGTGGTTTGAATTATTGTTAATGAGCACATGTTCATTTAATTTCCAACAAGTTTTCAGGAAAAGCATTTATCAGAATGGGTGGATGTAAAAATCTGCTAGAAGTATCTCAATAGTTAATATTCTTTTTTAAGATTGTTAGTCAAAATGTATTAAACTGAATAGATACATTTTTTGGAAATCAGAGTTCTTTCCTCCTTTACTTTACAGACAAAGTGACATGTTTTGACTATCTTAATGTAGAAATTCACTCTTTAAAATCTTCATCTTCTCAAAGTCAATGATATTTTCAAGTTTCAGTAAACATCCAAATTCATTTTTGAGAGCTTCATTCTATTTTCAGTTGCTTTTATATGGATTTTATTGATATTCAGTGTATTAAGGTTTTTTGAAGTAACTTTGAACTAAGAAGAGAAATTTTGCTACAAATGGAAATGAGGGTTAAAACATTGGCTGATTATTTATCTGACATAATCAGAGAGGCAAATCCACCACAGTAGAAAATTACAAATTAAGTAACAGTTTGAGGGAGAGAGATGAAGAAGAGTTTTCCAGCAGCCCATAAAGGGGAGAGGAATCATTAAAAGCCAGCTCTATTTACCCTATAACTCCCAGAAGTGATTAAATTGTTACTTCTCCCTACAATATCCACATAATTTATTATCCAGTAAATCAGTGATGAGAATTCTCAAACTTAACAGGTACCCATAGAAGTTATGTTAATGTAACCACAAATTCTCATGACTACTTGACAAGGACAGTAATGTGTAGCAGCTAGAGGGGAGAATTAACAAACAGCTGTTGGGAGTTAAAAAAGGGTTAAGATACACCTGAGTGATGAAGTAAATAACAGACCTTGTGATGTTCAGTAGGCCAACTGTCCACCGACACATCAGTGCATGTGTTGGTGAGGCATTGCTGGGATCGGATTCTTTACCTTTACTTTGCTTTATAGAGGGTCGATGCCCTCTTTGTCCACCTACTTACACTCTGCCAGATATCCCTCACCAAACCTTGAGGTTGTTAGTTCACTCTGCTCAGGGCTTTTTTCTTCCTTGTTTCCCTTCCACATTCCAGTGCAGAATATCCTTAAAACCACCACCACTGCTTTCTTGACCAATGATAAAACAAAACAGCAAAATTTATTTATTTTTAGCAGTCAAAATACATAATTATCTAACACTACCTACCCACAAAATAACCAAGCTAATCAAGGCGTGTCATCAAAAGTTTGTCAAAACTAGTCAATTGGTCGAAACACGTGTATATTCACCATAATTGTTGTTGTTAATTGATAATATTTCTTTACCAAAAGAAGGGAACATTCTTTCCCACAGTTTGTCAGGTATCTACTGATAAACAGGAAGTCCTAATACATCTTGTGTATCTTCATAAAAACATGTTTAGGAGATGAATGAAAGATAGTGTTAGTACTAATAAGAACGAGAATTTAGTCATTGTTGACAGTGATGGATCAACAGATCTGATGTAAAGAAATAAACTTTAAAGTTAAGATACGATTTATCTCTACTAAATTAACATTTTTGTGTATAATAAAGAAAAAAACAGATTAATGGTCAGTTCTTCTTACATAAGTTTGTAACTATTTTTGGCTTTCATGATGTCAACCGTTGTTATTTATAAACCTTTAAGTTAGTAGAACAATAATATGCACAGTCACAATAATTAATGTAAACAAAACTATGAATTTCAAAGATATTTCCGGGAAGTTTATTGTGTTACAATCAACCATGCTGGGAATAAAAAAAAACCTCAAAACCACAGAAGTACATTAAGCACCTCAAGCTATTCTGGCAAGTCATGCAATCAAGGAATAACTCTTACTAGTTCTTGTCTCTATTTGGCGATGTATGATTCATCCTATTGCACTTTGGTGGACCTTGTGCTCTTTTTACTGTATGAACAAGAAAATATGCTTTAGGTTAAATTGATAAGTAATTTTACTTGAAAATCAACCCTCGCATTAGCTCACAGTGGTGTAGAGAATTAATTAAAGCAGACAAAATAAATTTGCATATGGGTCTGTGAAACTTTGGTTTTTGTTGACATGCAATGAATTTTATATACATTAATTATTATATCTATGCAAATTATTTTTTATGCTACTTATACAGTTTCTGTGCATGAAGTGAAGCTCTTTTTATTGATCACTGGCCATTATGTGCCAACTGAGGTACAGTAAATCTATTTTTGTTTTGGTCCTGCAGGACAATGTATTTGCATTCAAGTGGATACTTAATCTGTGTGAAATCTTCACAGGAGCTTTCTAAGAAATGTTTTGAAAATCCCTAAGAGTATTTGTTTCCTTGATTGGTTCTTGAATAGGAAGAAATTCACCTTTTTTTTTCAATTCCTGAAAGAAAAAAATTACAGTAACTGAAACAGAACATAACTTTCCTTACTTCAATCTTTTCTGACTGAAAGCTATCTGATGTTGTCTGATTGATTCAATCACAGTGTACTGTCACAATGGGATATCAAAATATTTATCTTAAAAATTCCTAAATTAATATGTAGGAATTCTATTCATTTCCCTTTTCGTGGGTGAACTTTCACATTGTTTCTTGAAAACAACAACAATCAAACAGTGCTTTATTCCTGACTGGGCTGTTTTTTTCTCTCTATTCCTTCAGTTTCTTTATTTTTTCAATAACAAGCAATTTTTCAAAGTGGAGATCTTTAAGGAACCACTGGGTGGCCAAAGGCTCGTCCCTCAAAGGAACTTTGTATCTGACAAATGGCTAAGAGCTTAGCTGTTATATCAAGTGGCCAGGTTACTAAGTGAAATTGGAAATGGTAACCACATCCATAGTTAATCACATTTGAATACATTTTTGAGAGGTTTGATGACTGTGGAATCACAACACTCACTAGACATCTAAGAGTGACTAGCATCAAATTTCTCCCAAAATATCACCCCTGAATCAAATGTGAAGCTCGCAAGAATAAAGGAAATGGTCACTAAATGAGCAATTGCTAACAAATTCTCCTTGTCAGCACCATTGAAAACTGTACATACATTGAAGAACAGCGTGGAGACTTTGTTGAACTACTTGCAGACTAAGACATCACGTCTCGAGTATCACATTCGACACACATATAGAAACTGTAAAAATAAAATAACTGTGCTTTAAGAATCTTGAAATATATTTCACTCTTCGAGCCTTATCAGTCCTAAAAAACCTCATGTAAGATGCATTAAAAATGTTTGCACATACCCAGATATCATGTAATTATTTTACATCATTATTTTATGTGGTCTTGCATCACTATCACGCGGGGGACGCAGAATTCCATTCGCTCTTAGAGTTCATCAATGAACTTCTCTCTGATCTTTGTTTCCTCCATGCACCCCAGCCTGTTTTCCCTTTGTCTATCTCAATTTAGCTAAATTGAGATGGACAAATTGAGCAAATGGAATTGTTTCCGCATCCCCCGCATGAGGTTCTTTTTCACTGATGAGGCTGGAAGAGCGAAATATATTTCAAGATTCTTAAAGCACAGTTATTTTATTTATACAGTTTCTATACGTGCGTCGAATGTGATACTCGAGACATGATGTCTTATTCTGCAAGTAGTTCAAGTTATTCAAATGCATTCCTAGCCTCAGTAACTACTATTTCTTTAAGAGGAGAATATGCATAGATAAATAAGTGAATAAACTTTATTTAACAAGTGTATCACTAACAGTAATTCAATAGAGAAACTAGTGACCCTTTAAGAAATGACTGTGTAAAGGGTTAAAGTTTTCATAAAATCAAATTTTCATCACAGGCCTCTGCTTGATCATAGCTCTGATCATCAAGGCTTGTTTACAATTTTCTTTGTCAGTTTTGTGAATCATGATATTTTTTCATTGCTTTTCAGATGGTCCCACATCGCTGACAAACTATTTGGACTCCAAGCAAAGAGGGGTGACAGGGGCCAAGAGAGGAGCTATCAAATGGGCCATAAACAGAGATGTTACACTGGGAGAAGGTACACAGCATCATACATTTACATGTACTCATGAATTTGCAATTGAACATTATTTATATTACATTCTCATTACATACAGCTGTACTTGTCATCAGATACCATAATAGGTACATATTGACAGAGATGGACCACTAAAAACGAAAATGTTTGGTATGAGGCCATGATTTGCGGACCAAGTACTGCAAGGTCTGGATGCCAAGACCAGTGGTTGTCTCATCCATCCTGAACCAACTAAGTTAATAGGCATTTTATTGACTGTATGATTGATGTTTAGGGCTGTACTGCTTTTTCTGGCCCTGGTAAGTTCTGTCATTGCAGCTGTGGCGATTTTGTTCAAAATGTATGCAATATGCATGCAACCAAGGATAATTACAGGCTATGTGAAGCAGCACTAAAAACTATTATCTTATGTCAAGGTTTTTTTAATCTACATTATCTTTATTTTTTCAGTGGAAAACAAGTGCATTTTCAAGTACATACAAGGCAGCACTAGTTCAGTGAAGGCCATCAGTCCTACAATTTACATCTTCAACCCTTATGCTGCAGTAAGTAAGAAGGAAAATTTCCTGTTTGAAATCATCTAACAAAATAAACATGACTGGCTTTAATTCTGCTGTTGTGTCTTTTTCCAAAGCTTGCTTCACCTCACGGCAGGCCACGCCTTGGGTCTTTGGTACCAGAAGAGACCCTCCTGGAATTTTCTATTGCAGGTGAATATGATAATGTATTTATGATATTTGATAAGAACTTTAGCTTGCAATTATTTTGTTTGCTATGAATTATTCAAACCCTGTTTTTGCCGAGATGGTAAGTTCAAGATCTGGTCTTTCTCCAAGAACAATGTTAATATTTTATGGTTGCCATCTCAACTGGTAAAGCTATGTTTATGAAGGATATATTAAAGTATTAGACTTCATATTAAGAGAATTTTGCTTGTGTGGATTAATTCAAGCACTCTCAAGCAGAAATGCTGCAGGTTCATTTTCAGAGGTAGCAGAATCCAGTCAAATGCTGTAGGGGGCTCGTCCAACATCGAACCAAGCACGTGGCAATGCTGCCTCTCAAATTTCCTAAAGTGATCTCTGTGTAGTTCATTGGCATGAAAAAACCTATTATAATGTATTTGCAAAGTTGTCACTGTGTCCATCCTCAAATTGTAACAAAGCATTAATGGCTATTAGTTTTGTTCAAAACCCTAAAAACTAACATTGTACATTATTTTTGTAGCATGTATTATTTTCACCATAAAATGTGGATTCTCCCCAAATTATGCAGTGGGGGGGGGAGGGGTTGAGGGACCCTTGCTCTGCCTCCTCATGAGTTGTTGTTAATCATTGCACAGTTTTCATTTCATATTTTTTGCTCATGGAGCGAACCACATTATGGTAGAGAGTTATCATCAGATCAACTCTCTAGGATTTGATGAGAATGATGGCAATGAAAGATATGTGAACTTCACAGATGCAATGTACAATTATGTGGGCTACCATGATCTATGCCTGTCTTGAGTTACGTAACCTCGGGTCTTCTTTCAACAGGTTTACAGGCTGATGGCTTGAAGAAAAACATCTTTGGTAGACCCAGCCCATATGTTAAGCTGTCAATCATGCCGTCGAAAAGACATCTCAGGTCGTGGAAACAACATCACGGACAGATTGCCAAAACATCATCACAACCTAACACCATAAGTCCAAGATGGACGAGCGAGGTTCGTATGCAGTTTGCTAGTTCGCAGTTGTAGTTGAAAGGTGGCTCTTGAGTTTGAAAAGACCTTTATTAGCTGCCATCGTAAAATTTTTACAGTTAATTTTCCACCAGTTGCAGACATACAGTTCGGTAAACGGAATTTGCGCGACATGACAATTACGCATTCACAGTTAGGTTAAAAGTGAAATAGGAGACGTGGTGATTGGAGTGTTAGGTTTTTAGGAGGGAGTGTACTAAATTTGTCACGTGGTGAATGTTGACGATAAACAATAAAACAAGGATTTGAGGCCTAAGAGTAAGTGTACCCCACAAGTTCGGTACATCGGTTTTCTTTTTTGCCACCATGGTGAGGAAGCTCAGAGAAACCATGGGGTTTGTACAGTACGGGCTTCCTTAACTAGAACTACCTGTATATTACTATTTTTCAATTACCTGTATATTGCGAACAAAAAAAGGAGCTACAGTGGTAAAATGGGTAAAATGATATAATGAAAATAACAAAACGAACAAAAAAACAGAACAAAGGAAAAACAAAAAAAGGGGAAAACAAAGGAGTTAAGGGAAAATAGGATACGAGAAAGAAGGTATTTTTCAACTTGTTTTTTAAAAGTTTTTAAACTTGCTGAATTTTGAATTTGTGGACTGAGCTTACCGAAAGGTAGAGGACCTTATAACTGAAATGAAAAAAGCATTACTTGGTTTTACACTGGGGGACAAACAAAGAAATAAGTATAATAATTGTTATTGTATTATTGGTATTATAGCCATGAATCTTGTTCTTCAATGGCTTTTCTGTGTGTACTGTACCTTGATAAAGTACTGTGGACTATTTTTGTTTCCTTTCAGGAGTTTGTGTTCCTGGGTGGTGCAGACGACCTGTTAGAAGTAGAAGTGCGGAATAAGTTTTCTGGAACGCGGCCTGCTTTCAGCCGCTTCCTGGGGAAACTAACTGTTCCTCTGGTGGATCTTTTTGAATGCCAAAGAAACAGGTCTGTTCTACTCTCTATTGTTATTGTCACTCACTTGGTTACCATTAAGAAACAGGTCTGTTCTNGAGTTAAAGGAGGACTTGTTGGCAAAGAATCGTGTGCGTAAATGCCCCTCCACAACTAACTCCTTAATCTTCGAGGACTTTAAATTATAAACTCAACAATCGTTACTGTCGGGTAACTGTCCTGCAGGGTTAGGGGCAGGAGACGTTCATTTCCCACGCACGAGATTACTGTGTGATGGATGTCCTCTCCTGGGGTGGGTTGGGTGGGTGTTATTGTTTCACAGGGCCCCATTTAAACTAGCACTTTTCTAAACTGGGGTACCCCGTATAAATATTCGTAAATACATACAAAAATGCATACATACCTACCGTGCCAGTCTTGTGCTCAATCTAGACAATCTGGCGATCATAGGGAAAACAGTCGTCAAGTACAAACTCAATTCTATTCGGACGATTATGGTCGCTTCGTAAAAGATAGCTTTGCAACGTTTGTTTGTAATTTTCATAATCCCTTGACCATTAGTCCTACATGTAGGTCATGTTATTTTCTTTCCTTTTTTGATTCTTGACAGGCCAGAGGAGTTCACTAAATCTCTTGGTAGAAGGACACCTGCTGACAGAGTGCAGGGCACAATTACACTCACCATCACTGTTATTGAACCATCTAATAATTCAGGTAATAACTCTGAATGGCACGGACACAATCTATTTATCCTCATGTATTTGGGAATTCTTATTATAATATTTTACCCTTAAGTCGTTTGTCGGGTAAATTTTCTTGATCATGGAACGGAAACAGAAATTTTAAAACGACAGGCCGACATTTAAGTAAAGAATGTATTGAAACACGCAGACGAAACATAGAATGAAAAAACTCGTTGACGTATAATACGTCCCTTCGTGAGTTTTGTCCTTGTAGCACTGAATCTTGGGCCACGATTACATGTTTTCTAGTCACGAATTGATTATTTTCTGACCTAAACTCTTTCTTTTTCTTTTTAATTTTATGCAGATGCTGCTTCTACTGAACAGGAAAATGTTCCACCAAACGCAGCTTCTGGTGGTGAATTCAATGGAAGCATTCAGCAAAATAACCCAAGGTGCACGTTATCAAACCCATCGCTCATGTCGTCCGCACCTAACATTTTACAGCCTCTTACCTTAAACTCCAGCAATGGTCTGCTGGAGACCATCTTCCCCGTGGACCAAGCAGCATCTCCTGTTTCTCCCCTGGGTGCTGCTGAACAGGAGAATAACTTTGGCGATGCTGCTCGAAGGAGATTGGCACTGCACTCGAGACCACTCTCCGAGATGTTCGCTGAGGAGGTCGTTCCCTTAGATGATAATGAAGTCACAAGAAACCCTCGAGGGACACCCAGTGAGGGTGCTACTAGTGGGAATTACTCAGAGGAGGCAGAAACTTTAGATGTCAACAGGGCTTCCAGTGGAGTAGGAAATTCTGATGAAGTGGTATCTCCGGGTGATACGATTGATCAAGGTGAAGTTTGTCATAATGGACAAGATGACATAGATGCTTCCTCTGGCCAGGAAGGTGCAACAGAACTAACCTCACTAGCAGACAGTCACGGTCTGGAGCACTTACCTATGGAGATCTCAGAAGAAGGTAACGGAGCCAACACATCTGAAGTGGATATGGCTTCCTCAGCTGCAGGGCAAAGAACCAGTGTTGGAAGTAGTATCGGAAGCATTGAGTTGACAGAGGACTCGCCACTGAGGATCTTGGAGGAGAGTGAGAGAGTTCGCGAGGAGAGTATCGCTCTTTCAAGTGAAAATCTTTTACAAGATGCGACTGTTGAATCAGAGGACGAACTTGAACAAATGGATACTACCGATGAGACTGTTGTGGTTGGAACAGAACAGGATATTTCGAATAATTCAGACTTCTCAATGGAAGATAATTTGTCAAGTGGGAACACATCAGAGTTAACTTTGATTGAAAATCAAACGGCTGACCGAGAAACTGATTTGCAAGAAACTGCTAATAGTGTCCTCTTAGATGAGGAGATAGATGATCAGGTATTGTCATCACTACAGGACATTGAAGGGTCTAGAGCATCAACATCTGTGGTTGAGTGCTCGCCCGGCCCTTCATTAGCCGTGGTGTTGAATGAAGCAGGGCCAGCTCCTGTTGAAGAAAAGCTGCAGCCGCGGGCAGAAGATTCGGATGTGAACCGCAAATCAACAGCTTCGCCCGTGAGGCAACAGGAGCATAGCCAACGGGATGTACACATGTCTCTTCTTGAGTACGTAGAAGAAATATTTAATAATGAAGCTATGGAAGAGAGTAATGACAGTGCTATGATTGTTGAGACTGCTGGGGAAAGTTCGCAGATTGGCTTGTCATTGACCTCTTCGGCACCAGAGTCAGCTCAGCCGTCTGTTGAGGACATGGTATCTTCCAGTTCAGAGTCGTCTAACTCAGCGATATCGTCGGTAACCCTTCCGAGGGAGGCTTCCGAACCTGTATGCTTGAATGCCACCTCACTACAGTCTGCTTCAGCTTCGGAAATGTTAGTGGATACACCACCAGAGGCATTGATGCTCAACAGTGAAGGGTCTGACAGGGATAGCGCTGTTCCACAAAGGCCCCCTCGGGGTAATAGACTATCGCGATCCAGTAGCGATCCACGGAGTGCGCACTCAAGACGGGTAGCAGAAAGGGCACGCTTTGCTGAACGAGCCAATCAAGGAGAGAATTCTGAGAGGCTTTCTCGTCCACCATTAGTTCGACGGGTCACCGAGCCTACTGCACTTTCAAGTGTAGTTGTTAATACTGAAGCTGACCAGACGAACACAAGTGTACTGTCACTATCTAATGCAACAGCAGTAGTCACTCCAGTGGTAGAAGCTACCACAGATGTCGAGGTGTCTCCCATAGTGTCACCCACAGTCGTAATGGCAGTGCCATTATCTCCACCTCCATTGCGTACTTCTCTGTCCTCTTCAAGTAGTGGAGCCTCCCCTATCGTTGTAGCAGATGTTGTTGCTGGAACCCCAGCTTTGGTTACCGCATTACCATCTCCTGATTCGATCGTGGAAGGGAATACGGTAACGACTTCTGAAAATAATTTCACTGTTGTTGCAGTTAGTTCCAACGCAAATACAAGAGATGGTATCGAATCGTCAACATCTAGAGAGTCAGCAAGCGAGCGTGTACTTTCAATGATGACTGAAAGCAGACAACCTTCATCTGCTCCGTCAACATTACAAAGGGGCAACATATCTGCTGTTGGCTCCATTCTGGCTAATGAACCACAGGCTCATCATAGAAGAAACTCATCGCAGGATAATTCATCCTCGGTAGTGTACGCCACGCCAATTTCAGAGCAAAGTCGAAATTTGCCCAATGAACCTAGCGCAAGTTTTCCCAGGCAGAGTAGTACAGCAAGAGTAACAGCACTGTCAGGAAACCGAAGACGTAGCAGTAGTAGTGGAGGTGGTTATACCGTAACGAGGGACATCTCCATGGATTCGCAGTCTTTACCGCGCAGCTATGGTCATAATGTTTCAGATTCAGTTTCTTCTGTTGTAGCTACCGCTAGTGCCTCATCAAACTTAGAACAGTACAGGTCTCACACAACTCAGAGAGTGAATCCTGAGACTTCTGTCAGTGCCACGTCTTTGCTTGGGTCTAGTGGTAGATCAACCAGTAATGTGAATCAGTCCAGGGAAACCATACAATCTATTCTCGCAACTTATGTCGCTAATTCAGCGCAAATTCCACGTGGGAGACCACCTGCTGCGGGCCAACCTGTGGCATCCACATCCTCTTCTCTGGAAGCAGACTCGGGTAGGAGGCCGACGCAAGCCAGTAATCGCCGAGGCTCTGGCCGGAGACAACAAGGAAATGCGGTGCATGTGTCCATACAGGACCAACAACAAACAAGGGAGCAGCAGGGTCGGGCTGGACAGCAAGCCACTGATGAGGAGGAACCTCTTCCTTCAAGTAAGGCACTCGGGCTAAGGGGCCCACACAGCTGGACCTTTCGGTTTCCTTAGTATGAAGCTGGGTATTATCGCTGGGGTGTTAGTTCTTCTCAAGCTACTTACGGCATTTTGTCAGGCTTCCCTAACAGTCCATCGGTACCCTTCTACACTCTTTGGTGGAGAAGGGCACTGTGAGTGTCAAGTGTCTCGCCCCAAGAATACAACTCAGTGACTAGGCCAGGTCTTGATCTCGGACTTTTTCGTCCTGCAATTCAGCCCGCTAACTTTTAGTCCACCGAGTCTTTCATCGGCTAAGGCATGTAAGAGATTTTTAAGTATCTCACGACTGAGGTGTTTTGGCCTGGTTTGCCCGCTGAACTAGAGGCCCGGGTACGAGCCTTAGCCGAACGAAATTATTGTTTGCTCTTTCACGCGATACTTTGTCTTCTAGCGTTTCTTCCTGCCCATGACTATAAATAGGTGACCTGACGGGGGGAGAGGGATAAACTACTGCGACTTAGGATCCCATACAGGCCCTTTAGCCATACTCTTAGCCGCTTCATACTACAGACATCGGGATGTTTATGACGGATGCTTCAGGCCAAAATTCGTTTGTATTCCCTGCAATTACAATCAATCCGGTTTATGTTATGTAGCTTTTGATATACAGAACTAACGCGATAAGAATTTTGCTTGTTGTCAAACGTTGTAATCGAGGTTGAACCTCAGGAAATTTATTTGCGTTTCGCGCCGATTTTAGTTCCTTTCTTGAGGGCTGAAAACGAAAAAAGGAAGTTTAAAATCGAGAGTAGAACGCTTGAAAAATTCAAGTTCTAAAGGTTTGACAAGTTACAAGTAGTATGAGAAGCGATTAGAAGATTATGTTTTATCTTTTGTATGGATTATTAAACCAATGGAACTTCTGTTTGTTAGATTGGGAAAGAGGAGTGGATTCTCATGGAAGAGTCTATTACATTGACCATGTTAATAGAACAACTACTTGGAACAGACCACGCAGAAGTAAGTCTTCCTCGCTTACATTTTTTTTCAGAAGCTAGAGCAATTTTTGTTTGAGTGTGAAAAGTAAGTCAAAATTGCATTGGGTTTTGCGTTGCATCACTCTGAGATTCGTCCAGAGAAAAATGCGCCGCATTCTCAACAAATCGGATGCAAAAGGAAAACCAAGTACACACTCGTTTTCCTGGATCTCAGGAAATTTGTTTCTTTTTACAATGACGGCTCCTTGTGGAAGCCGAGATTGCATTGGTTTTGCTTTACTTCGCTCGGTGGTTGGCCCACAAAACACGGGTTGCTCTCTCAACCAATCAGATACAAAACTGAAACTCAATCGCAACTTGGTTGCAAGCGTTTTTCCGCACTTTAGGCAGTTTGGTTGTTTTAACTTTGAGTTGTCATTGGATCATAACTGCGTTGTCTTTCTTCTAAGTGGCCGCTCTGAATAATTTGGTTTTGGTTTTATAAGGCTCAATCGAAAAGCGCTCGAGCTATGTTTTTTTTTTTCTATTGTATTGTGCCTACTGCCTCCTATAGGAGGCCAAGCCAAAAATGTCGTCGAGATGAGAGTGAATGAGGGAGTGAGTGAGTGAGTGAGTGAGTGATGGTAACAATAGAATTCCGGTGCAACGTATTGTATAGTAATTTGCTTGTATCAATTAAGTTGAAATTGTAAATTAGCCACCGTAAAGAGTTAAAACGCTGACGTTTCGAGCGTTAGCCCCTTCTCAAAGCGAATGCCGAAAGGCTAACGCTGGAAACGTCATCTCTTTACCTTTAACAAGGTAATTTGGCTACTATCAACTAAGGTTGATAGTAGCCAAATTATCTTGTTACCTCCACCAACACAGCACCACAGTTTCTTTAGAAACTTACCCCCTTTATTGTGTTATATAGTAGTTCGACATTTGCACTCGATACACAGTTGAGTTCTCTCCTTTTGGGATTTCTGTGTGATAGCTACTACTAAAACATTATGTTATCATCCTTGTTCCTATTGTAGCTATGTAATAGGAAGAGAAGCCACTATGTTACGGTGATGAGTGAGTGCGTAGGGCCCAGGCACACTGGACTGACAAAATTTGCTTTGCTCCAACAAAAATCTCGACAAAATTTGTTCCTTCCAAATTTTCAATTTGTCATTCATGGGCGCATTTTAAAACAGCAAAATTCTGTTAACCACCAAATTTCACTCACATGGATTCAGCTTAAGCGTATATTGCGAACCTTAATGGTTGTATTCTGAGTGTCCTGAGTATTGATCGTCATACTGCATCTTGAGTTACAAATCTTCCATCTTCACCCAACTACTAAACTTAGGATTGTTCTGGCTAAGTGTTGGGGAATTGTTCACGCCTGTTAGATTATCTTGAAATCCTATGCGAGTCTTGTGAGCCTTAGTTTTTTATGTACCAACTTGTGCGTGATGTGTCCTTGACCGTTGTAATAGGACCTAATTCTCGATAATCTTCATCGCTAGTCGTGTATGGGTTTTTCCTTGACTTTGCTTAGAGTCCTTGATGGGAAGTTTTGTTTAGGTTTTTGTTCTCTTTGTTTCAAGTATTTTGTTGTTTATTTTGAATATTTCGTGAAATTGTTCGGGTTAGCGTTCCAAAAATATATAGTCAGAAGTTCTTTTCAGACTAATGACCAACCAGGCACTTT